GGTGCGGGGAGCCGGGCTCGCCGTGCCCCGGGGCGGGAGCCGTGCCGTGCTCCGGCGCGAGCTGTGGCGGTGCCGAGAGCCCCGGTGCGGGCTGTCTCGGGACGGGAGCCGGGCTCGCTGTGCCCCGGTGCGGGCTGTCTCGGTATGGGGAGCCGTGCCGCGCTCCGGTGCGAGCTCTCCCGGTGCGGGAGCCGGGCTCGCCGTGCCCCGGTGCGGGGAGCTGCGCTGTGCCCCGGTGCGGGCTGCCCCGGTGCGGGGAGCCGTGCCGTGCCCGGGGGGAGCGGGGCAGCCCGCAGCAGAGGGCACCGCTGCCCGAGCCCGGTGCTGGAGGCCTTTGCTGGGCTCGTCTTTGGGCCGTGCCCGGTGGCACGGTGCGGGTGGGGGGCCGGTAGCCACGGGCCGGTGGCCGGCAGCTCCTGCGGGAATGAGGGCTGGCCGGTAAATGGCGGGGCTGGCCCCTGCACCGCTCCAGGGCTGGAGAACCCGGTTCCTCCTCTCCAGGGAAGGGGTTTGGACTGTCTGGGCTTACCTTCCCCCCGCAGGGTTCCCCCCCTGCCCGCTCCCTCCCGGGGGTGTCGGTGCCGTGTCCATCTCTCCTGCCCGCGGACCCCGGGTCTCCCGGCCCCTCCGGGGGCGCCCAGGAACAGGGACCAGCGTGGGGGGGTGACTCCTGACCCCGGGCAGGGGTGGGACAGCATTCTGGGGGGGTCACGGGCACCCTCAGCTTCTGACGGACAAAAGGGCCCATCTGAGGCCAATCCTGTTCTTTATCTTCCCACCGTCGCCCGTTAACGACCTGTCTGTGGTCCCTCCGGCTGCAGGGGCTGTCCCTTGTTTTCCCAGCCTGGGCTCTGCTGAGATCTTAATGACCTGCTAATGTCGGTGCCATCAGCACCTGCCCTTCTGCTGTCCCTCTGTGCTTTCAGGTGCCCCCACACCCCCATGCCACCCTTCAGTCTCCCTTCCTGTTACCGTACCACCTCTGCCAAGCCTCTTCTCTACGGCAGGGCCTTACACCAGGGTGTACGTGTGGTGTGGATGGTGCCTGAGCCCTGTCCGTGCCGGGACCTGAAGCCCCGTTCATCAAAATCCCATGGCTCCTTCCCCTGCCTGTCCTTGGCACTCCCAGAGTCACAGGTCCCACCCGTGGGGCACCTCCGAGGTGTCAGGGACCGCCATATCTGTCTCCTGGTGTTTTGTTTATCTTTTTTGGGTCGGGCTCTGCTGGCTCTGTTGTTGTCCGTCCCTCTGTCTGCTGTGCCCTGTGTCTGACCAGGCTCCAGCTGCTGATGTAGGAGATACAGCGTGTCCCCTGTGTCCTCTGTGCCACCGGTGAGGCATGGGGTGACTGGCGCAGCAGATGGACAGGCCCCTGCCTCTCCCATGGTCTCTCTGCCAGGATGGCCCTGGGGCAGCTCAAGAGGTGAGGAAAGCTGTGCAGAAACTCAGTTTCTAGCTGAGAATGCCCTGATGCTGCTGTAGGTAGACTTGGAGACTCCCAGCGACCTCCAGCATGTGCTGGAAACAGTGAAAACATTTGGTGTCCATCCTGGATGAGATCCTGAAATTTGATTGTGTCTGACCTGTAGTTGCGTTATGTTTTCTCACACGGCTTTTGGGTGACGTGTGTTAGTCTGTCACACACCAAAACAGCCTGACACCCCTGCTTCTCCTTGGCAAAGAGACGGCTAGTTTGTTCCCCTTTGAACAATCCCCGTCTGTTTTGCCCTCATGGTGACATAGAATCACAGAATGCTTTGGGTGGGAAGGAACCTTTAAAGCCCCCCCAGTGCCACCCCCTGCCCTGGGCAGGGACACCTCCCACCAGCCCAGGTTGCTCCAAGCCCCCTCCAACCTGCCCTTGAACCCCTCCAGGGATGGGGCAGCCACAGCTTCTCTGGGCAACCTGGGCCGGGCTCTCACCACCCTCACACCAAAGAAGTTCTTCTCAAAATCTCACCTAAATCTCCCCTTTTTCAGCTTTAACAAATCTTCCCTCTTGTCCTAGGGCTCCCCTCCCTGATCCAGAGTCCCTCCCCAGCTTTCCTGGCGCCCGGTTACGGCGCGGTTCAGGTACGGACCCAGCAGCTACATCGTGCCCTGGTGTTAGTGCTGCGCTGGGTCTGTCCGTGCCCACCACGGGACAAACATTTCCCTGCACGACTTCCTTTGCCTGTTCACGATGCGTGTGCTCACAATGGATGTGAAGTTACACATTTCCATGGGCAGTTTGGAAAATAAAAGCACTTGTGGCATCTCCGCAGGGTCTGTGGAGAAATGGTCATGTGAACCCTCTGGTGGCTTCACGTTGGGTGCCAGCACAGCCCGCGTCCTGCCTCCTTCCCAGCTCTGGGAGCCAAAGTGCAGCAGAGGAATGCTCTGCTGCTGCAGGCTTTTCCATTTAGGAAGATATAGGGGTTTTTTTTTCAGGCTTGGTTTGATGACTTCATATACTTTTTTCCATCTACCCTGTGGAGTAGAAGTAGCAAGGGAGAAGAAACTTGAATTACTGCTGATGTTACTGCTGTTTGCCACTTTCCGTGTCTAAATACAGTTTCCTGAATGAAGCCCAACACCTCATTACTGAGGTCAAACTGGATTTATCCGGGATGCTCAGTTTCTGCAGAGCCTTTATCCATTTGGAAAGGGGACTGTTGCAGCCGGGAGGAATTCGTTGGCTCTGCTGTTGGCAAGCACTGGTATCACCCCATTAATAGGTAATAGATAGTAATAGGTAATAACAGATAATAGGTAATAATAGATAAGAGTAGATAATAATTAATAGATAATAATACACACAGACAGCTGCCAGTGGCTAGAGCTGGGCTGGTTGCTTTTCGCTTGGAATAGTCCATTGCTCCCCTTCTTGGTCACCTTGTTTAGTAAAAGGGTTAATGACTGAATGTGTAGTGATACAGAGGCCTTGAACCCTGAGCTTTACCTTCTAAAACCACCATGGTGAAAGAAATGAGAAAGGGAAACAATAGTAGAAAGAAAGAGAAGAAACGCCGAAGCAGAATTCACAGAAAAATAAAGTGATATTGGAACAATCTGCAAGAGAGGAAGATTTTGAAGCGTTGCTTCAGGTTTCCACAGATCAGAAAACGAAAACAAAATACGGAAGAATAATCTAAGCATTTGAGTACACTGAGGTGCAAGGGTGTTCCCTTTTTTGGGGTATTAATTATGTTTGCAGTTCGCAGTGAGGATAACCAGTTCTGTGGTAGATTATTTGGAAAGGATCCAACTATTTAATATTTGCCACCAGAGTTATTTTTAAAAGCTGCTTTGTTGCCAGCCCTCCCAGGAGACCAGGACTCGAAGTGTGTTTTGTTGGGGAGTGCTTTTCCAGAGCAGAGGGGATCAGCTGAAGGATTTAGCTCTCTCTTTTCATGCCACTTTTTTTTTTTTTTTTTTTTTCTACCCCTTACTGGTTTAACAGCTTTTGTTTGCTGTTATTTAATTTTCCAGGATGAGTTTACTGGTGAACCTGCTGACCTCAGCTGATGGGGCAGGTGAAGGTGGTGAGGCTTTGCTCTGTGCTCTGCACAGGAGGGGGGACACCCCAGCCCCAGCTGGTTTTAATTGAGGGTATTTGTGAGAGCCAGAGGAGACTCTTTGAAGGAAGGTGGTGTAACTCACCGTGGGTAAACTCTGGTGGGAGCAGCCAGCCGAGTCCTCTTCTCGGCGTGCGTTCTGTGGGTCTGGCCAGAACCAAGGCTCTGCACACTGGATTTAGCCACTGCCTCCTCCTCGTTACCCTTCTCCCTCCCGTGGGCGATGGGGCTGTCCTGCCTTTCCCCCCAGGTCCGCTTTCCCTGCGCTGCTCTCTCCGTTCCAAGGAGCCTGTAATCCCTCATGCTCTCACCCAGTGACAACAATCCCCTGCCTTGTTCTCGCTGCTGGGGAGGGAGGTGACGTCAGCCCCGACCAAAAGGTTAGTGCAGAAACTTGCCCTTTTTCTTGCGGTGACTCGCCCTCTGCTCCCGCTCGGGTTCCCCACCAGGATGCCTCCCTCCCGGGGTGCTCCCGCGGCAATACCTGCCGCTCCGGTGTCTCCGCCGTGTCCCAAAGGCAGCCCCAGCCCCCCCAAACCAGATACCAAAGACACGTATTACAATTACTGGCGTTCTCCGTGTTTTGTTCCCTTTCCTGTTTTTAACCAAGTTTTTTTTGTGCCTTTTCATTGGCTTTCCTAGCAGGTATTTTTGTTGACAGTGGCCAGACGTTCCCCATGGAGTTGTGCAGGCCTGTCCACCTTTGTGTCCCCTTTCTCCGTTTTCTCTGGTGTAACCAGAGAACGCATGCGGTCCCAGAGGCTTTTATATTTCACTGCTGGGACAAGGGAGGTTACAAAATGGATGAGAAGATGATCGAATGCTCCTTGGTTGGCTCTTCTGTTGGACAAATTAGCATTCGGCAGCAAACACGTGCAAGGCAGGGCTTAGCATTCCCCTGGGGCCATCAGACACTGCTCAGCAAGGTGTCTTTGGTGGCTTTTGGTCTGCGTTGGCTGTTCAGTGTGGGCTCGCTCTGTGCCAAGGCTGCAGGAAGGCTCCAGGAAAGCTGGGGAGGGACTCTTGATCAAGGAGGGAAGCCATAGGACAAGGGGGAATGGTTTTAAGCTGAAAAAGGGGCGATTTAGGTGAGATCTGGGGATGAAATTCTTCCCCCTGAGTATGGTGAGAGCCTGGCCCAGGTTGCCCAGAGAAGCTGTGGCTGCCCCATCCCTGGAGGGGTTCAAGGGCAGGTTGGAGGGGGCTTGGAGCAACCTGGGCTGGTGGGAGGTGTCCCTGCCCAGGGCAGGGGGGGCTTTAAAGGTTCCTTCCTACCCAAACCATCCTATGATTTTCTGAAATAACGATGCTTGTGTTGCCTTCAGCCTCTCCTGGGTCTTATCTGGCCAGTGGAAAAATACTCTTCTGTCCCTCTTTCTCAGCAGTGGAAGGAGAACAGGGATCACAGTGTTTGCTCTGGCAGCTGCTGGGCAAGAGGGAAGGGCAGGCAGGGGTATGGAGAGAAAGGAAAGATTCCAGCCCTCCCGCGGGCAGAGGGGATGGACTGGCCGGTGGCTGCGTCTCTGAGGAGCCTGTGCCAGGTCCTGCTCCCGCTCCCACTTCACAGGTATCCAACAACAACCCCCCCAGTCATTGCTGACAGGCAGGGGATGTCCTGGGGATGGATGGGGGGAGTTCATGGAAGAGGGATGGATGCAGTGGGTGCCCCTTGTGCCCTGGGCTGGGAGAGCTCTGCACATCCCGCTGTGGTGGCCATGAGCGGGTGAGTTCCCATCCCCCCATGATGGGTTCCCATCCCCGGGTCTCCCCTGCCACCAGTGCCGTCAGACATCTGGGAATTTCTCCTGGATGATTTTTCCTGGCACTTATCTCTGCCCATAGCTCAGCTCCTTCTTTCCTCAGAGGCTTGCTGCTCTTCTGGCGCGGTCCGGACAAGTGCTGTTCCCCTCTGTCGTGGTGGCACCGATGATAAACCACAGCAGAGCTCGCCCTGGCCCCTGCTGCTGCCTCCCAGCTCTGTAGAGCCTCAGGCCACCATCCCTGCTCGGCTGGGTCCCTCCGGCTGGGAGCGTGTGAGCCCTGGATCCGCCCCACTCTGAATTAGTGCTGAGAATGTGTTTTTGTGAGAGGTAGGGATCAAATGCTTCACTGGAATCAAAATATTTTCCATCTCATGTGTTGCCTTCACCTGCTAATTGTGTAAGAGGATCACACAGGGGGAGAACAGGTTTATCTGGCACCGCAGATGCCTCGTCTGGCTCCTGCTGGGACACGGTGGGCTTGGTCCTGCTGAGCCACAGGACACGGTGGGCTTGGCCGGTTCTTTTTGCCCTGGGCTGGAGGTAGCGGTCTGGGTGGATGTCACCCAGGTAGGTCTTTTGTCAAAGACTTTGGCGTCCCTGCTGTGGTGTGAAACTGAGCCAGCGGCGTAGCCGGGCTCGGGCTCCGTAATTGCTCGGGGCTGCTGCCATCCCCAGCCTCCTCCCTGGGGACAAGGGCTGTTGGTGACAGGTCTGGTGCTTGAAACAGGTCCTTGGAGGCCAAGGGCTGGGAGAGCTGAGCAGCCGGATGCTTCGGCTCCACGTCTGGAGACTCACACTGGCACAGCAGGACCGTGGATGAGTCCCTGGGTGCCCGATGCCAGTGTCCCACCGCTCCTGCGGGACCTGCTGCAGCATCTGCTCCTCAGACAGGCTCTGTTGCCACTGCTTTTTGCTGTCCCTGTCCCTGGGTGAGCTGGAGAAAGCAGCCAAGGTGTCAGAGCAGGGCCTCAGTGCTCCTAGCTCATTTGCTTTTTTTTTTTCCTTTTACATATTTTTAAAAAATTATTTCCATGTTGCAACAGTCCCCCCTGCCCTGCCTGGGGCCACGGCGTGGGGGGGTGGCAGAGGAGAGCAGGGTCTGTCAGGGCCAGGGGCCGTGTGGTTTGGAGAAGGGGTCAGTGGGCTGGAGAGGGGGTCCCTGCAGAGACACAGTCCTCTGTCCCTGCTGCTGAAACACACCGCTCTGAGAGGACAATCCCTGCTGCTGAAGGGGTGTCTCCCTGCCTCAGCACCTCCATGCTGTCACCTGAAGAGAAGTCCCTCGAGAATCCCAGACACAGCCTTCGCCCTCGCCCAGGCTCTTGAGATCCTGGAGCGGAGGGACAGGCTGGGATTTACTCCCAGGAACGTTGTGTTCCCTGCTCAGCCTGGCAGCTCCGGGACACTCTACCAGTTCCCAGCGCCAAAAGGGATAACATCCCGAGGAGCCAGGTAAACTCTGCGGGCAGCAAGCATCACCATCCTCACGTCCTCATGACTCTCCTCTCGTTGCTGGCAGCCAGAGCTTTCTACTCCGTGGCAGAGGTGCATAGGGCTGTCACCTGTGGCATCAGCCGTGTCTGCTGTCACTGTATGATGTGGCACGGCTGGTCTCGGTGAGCCCAGGTCCCTATAACCCATATAATTACTCCTCCTTCTTGCTTGGCTCTCCCTTTGGGGGTCTCTTTGGTGATTTGCCCTATGTTCTCCAGACAGTGACGTTTTTTACCTCCTGTCCCCAGGTAAGAAGGAGGGGCCTTTCTGTGAGGGTGGTGAGAGCCTGGCCCAGCTTGCCCAGGGAAGCTGTGGCTGCCCCATCCCTGGAGGTCAGGGATGCCTCTGCCGAGGGATGGGGCCAAAGAATCATAGAATTGTCCAAGGTTGGAAGGGACCTTTCAGCTCCTGAAGTCCCAAGGACACGAGTGTGAATGTCTGGGAACAGGCAGAGGACTGACAGAGTGGCCTCTCCTCCAGGCACCGTGGCTGTGCCTTTTTCCCAGTCTCTTAGAGTGATTGAGAGAGGTAACAACCCACTTTGTCCTTATTTTCTTCTCCAAATTGGGTCTAAATGCCATTGCTCTCTAGCCCCCCTCCTTCCCTCTCTAACAGCAACTCTCCTGAGGCCCCAGAACCATATCCTTAAGCCTTTTTCTGTGGGCTGTTTCAGTCCTTGTTGACGTGAAAAGCTCAAAGGGGAGCGGTTTATTGTAAGATGCAATCTGATCTTTTGTAAACCTCCACCTCCTGGTCCCCAGTGATCTCTCCAGGCTGGACTCAGCTCCTGCCAAGGGCTTTCTGGAAGAGCCTGAGCAGGGGGTTTGCCCAGTCCAGCCCTGGAGTTCTGCCTGTTCCTTGTGGTGGCCACTGTTAGCAGCACAGGGAGCTGCCGGGAACCCCTGGAAGATATGGCACAAGAGAATCAAGGTGACCCAGCGCTGGTTCCTTTTGTCCCCAGTCACCTCTGGGACTATAATGCAGCTTTTATTTATTTACGCGGTCTTGGCGCACGAGGCAGCTGTTCGGTATCAGTTTTATTGTCATTCAGCACGAGACTGAGCACGTTGGCATCTACTGGGAACATTTCCTCCCCTGAGCCTGCCTGATGCTCCTCAGTGCCTCCCAGGCACCAACAGGTCCACTGTCTGGTACCACCTCGGGCTCCAAGAACGGGATGTTCCAGGCCGGGAGGCTACAGCAGAGGGATGACCATGGATTTGGTTGTGGGTCCTGCTGTAGGTTCACTGTCTGCATGCAGGAACGGGTGACCCCATGGGGAGGTGGCACCTGAGGTTTACAGCCCCGGCTGTGCCTCTGAGCCCGGGCACCAGTAACCTCCCTGCAGAGCTCTGCTGCTCCTCCGTGTCCTCATGGCAACCAAAAGGCTGTCTGGGTCCACGTTCTCCATTTGACCTCTTGTTCTCAGGCTTGTGGCCACTCACTGGTTTCGGGACAGGATTTTTCTCAAGACCATGAGCTGATTTTCAGTGGTTTTTTTGGGGAGAGGCAGAAGATCAGCTTCACAGAGCGCTCTGTGACCAGCAGACCCTTGTGGTGCCCAGGCACTCGCCCCCGGCCGCCCTCCCTCCCTCCCGGCACAGCCTCCATCGCAACCCACCCAGCCTGGGGCTGGATACCCGAGCTCCTGCCAAGGCTGCCCGCTCCCTTGGCCAGGCAGACCCTCCTGTCCCAGCCCACCCTTGCTTTCCACCCATAGCACTTCCAGGAGGACCACAGCTCAGGGTTCACAGGGGCTGGTGGGATGGTCCTGCTGTGGGGGACCTGGGTGAGGGCAGCAGCTCCCCTGGCAGAGCCCTTGCTGGGCACTCCTGGGCTGGATGTGTGTACTGGGAGCACTGGGAAGGCCGTGGTCAGTGAGGCGGGCTGGCCGTGCTGGGCTTTGTGCGGAGCACGTGGAGCCTGTGAGCACAAGAAGGAGTCACAGAGGTACTTTGTGTGTCTGCAGCAGGAGCCAGGCCACCGGCTGCCCGTCCCTCCCTGGCTAACGAGCCGGGGGTGCTGTGTGCCCGCGCCTGCGCCCACGGCTGCCCCAAGCCCAGCCCCGCCGGTGGGACGCCACGTTCCGGCCCCGGGAGGCAGAACAATCCCCTTTTCATCTGCCGCGTGGCGGACGGGAGCCGCTGCCAGGGCTGGGGGGGATGGCCCTGTCCCCATCCCAGCCCCGCTGGAGTAGGGCAGGGACGGGACGGGGACTCGTGCAGCGATGCCATTGCGAGGGCAGTGGATGCCCAGACCCGTGGGATGCAAAACTCATCAGACAGACCCCAGGGCGTGGGAGGTTGTCCCCAGTCTCCTCAGGATGTGAAAAGAGATGATGTGATGGCTTTGGTTTGGCTGGACCTTCCAATTCACTCTGTCCAGCGTGTGACCATCAGCCGTGGGGGTGGGTTGCTGGGAAGAGGGGTCCATGTGGGGGTCAGGAGTGGGGCTGGGGGGTTCACTGTCACTGCCAGCCTCTGGCTGGGCTGGAAGAGTTGAGGGGGGCTGGCATGGGAACGGCTCCGAGTTGCTGGCTCTTTCTGGTGCCCTCGCCTCCTGGAGGAACGGGGCTGCGATGCCCAAGCAGGCAGGTCCTGAGGCAGCAGGACGGGGGTTTGCTCTGCTCACCGGGCCCTGGCCAGGGTCACCTGCAGGCTGGAGACTATCCCTGCAGCACGTTCATCCCCGTGGGGCCAGGAACCATGGGCAGGGATGTCTCTGTGCTGTCTCACACCTTCCCGTGCCTCGCAGGTGAATCAGGGGAACATGCCGGGCATCCAGAGCACCTTCCTCGCCATGGACACAGAGGAGGGCGTGGAGGTGGTGTGGAATGAGCTGCTCTTCACCGACAAGAAGGCCTTCAAAGCACATGAGGTGAGTTGTTTCTCCCTGGTGGGACTGTGTCCACCTCCCTTGAGACCACCCATCGCACCTTCCTGGCCAGCAGCGCTGGTTCCCGCTGCTCGTGGGTGCACCTCAGTCACCAGTTAATCACAGCCTGCTCCTGTCTGCTTGGCTTTCCCTCCGCTTCTCTCTCAAAGACAGCTCCATGTGTCCTCTGTACCCCAAAACCAGCTTTCCCTGTGACCGGGGGCTCAGCCTCTCCCCCAGCCCCAGGTTCCCTTGCCTCCCTTGAGGTGTCCTGCCACATCCCAGGACCTGCCACCTCATCTGTCCTCTCTGCCTGCAGGAGAAGATCAAGACTATGTTTGAGCAGCTGGTGCTTGTGGATCACCCCAACATCGTCAAGCTTCACAAGTACTGGCTGGATGTGAAGGACTCGAAGGCGCGGGTAGGGAGGAATCTGGGAGATCCCCAGGCTTGGGGGGGATGTCAGAGGACCCCAGTTCTGCTCCTCACATGGCTTCCTGGGACTCCCCCTCCTTCCCCAGGACACTGGCCAGCAGCCCCCTCTCAGCCACATGTGGGACCAGCGCTGGCGGCAAGCTGCTGGCCAGGGCAGGGAGGCTGGGAAGGTGACACCTCTCTTCTCTCCCAGGTCATCTTCATCACAGAGTACGTGTCCTCGGGGAGCCTGAAACAGTTCCTGAAGAAAACCAAGAAAAACCACAAGGCCATGAATGCCAGGGTAGGTTCCCTGGGAGCAGCGGTGGGTGTCCCAAGTGGGTAGCCCTGTGCCCGCTGGCACAGCATGGGTCTCTGCTCTTAGAAGGCACAGCAAGAACCTATGGTTGCTACCTGAGCTGCCCAGGGACTCTCTGGTGTAGGGAGATGGCATCTTGGTGAGGGCTGGAGCAGGAGCAGAACCTCCCCAGGACATCCCAGACACAGACCCTGCTGTTGGGATCTGACCCCGGGGCTGGGGACCTGGTGGAAGCTGCCGCTGTGAGGTTCAGTGGCACGATGCCAACAGCTCCCAGGGCTGCGTCCTGCTTTGGGAGGCCTGTGCCCCCACCACCCTCAACGAGGGATGGTACTCTTGTGGCTAGCTCATTACTTGGGCTGAAGAGACCAGTCTCACCTGCAAACCCACTCAGTGTGGGTCTGACTCAAGGTTTTGCAGGCAGGTCTCAGCTGGGTGACCTTTCTGGGGGTCTTGTGCTTAACCCTGCAAGACCTGCCATGAAGTTTGAGCTCCGTATCACACCTGGGCCATTGGGCACTCCTGGGGTTGGGGTGTGCAGAGGAAGCCGTGTGTGTGTCCCCTGCAGCCATAGCCAGCCTTGCCCCTGCTGTGATGAGCCTGGCCATATTCCCACCAGGGTTTTGGGACTCAGGAGAGCTCTGCTAGCCAGTGAGGACAAGTTCTCAGCTTCAATGGTATTTTCTTTGAGCAGGGGTTGGTAAGGGCACTGTTGTGGCTGGGACAGCAGTCTCAGCAGGGCTAGTGGAGGGTTGATGTCCCCAGTCACCGGGCAATTGGTGGGGGTGACCTGATCCATCTGCTGGGTTCCGAGGGGCGTCTCTTCTGACAGAGAGCTCTGGTCTCTGCTCTAGGCCTGGAAGCGCTGGTGCACCCAGATCCTCTCTGCTCTCAGGTAAGTTCTCCGTTGCTTGCACCGTCGGCCATCCCCCTTCTCCCTGGTGAGGTGCTGAGGGCAGCTTTGTGCTTCCCCAGCTTCCTGCACTCCTGTGAGCCTCCCATCATCCATGGCAACCTCACCAGCGACACCATCTTCATCCAGCACAATGGCCTCATAAAGATTGGTTCGGGTAAGAAGCTGCCAGCCAAGGGATGTGATGGGGTGTTGAGGGGTAGTGGGCCAAGAGGGTTCTGGCTGGGCAGAAGAGGCTTCAGGGTCCTCAGGGGATCACCCCTGCAAGGCTTGGAGTGACCTTCTCTTCTGTTTGTGTCCTTTGCTCCGTGCCTTCTTACTCGCCTGCTTCCTGATGGGTGCTGACGGCCAGTCTGGCACAGAGTGTTTGCCAACGGTGAGTGTCCCTCCCTCTGCCACCTCTCCCAGCACATCATCCCAGTCCCCTCCCCGGGTCACCCTTTGTCCCCTGTGGGCCCTGGGAACCTCTCACCAGCAAGGGCAGAGGGGACCTCTGTCCCCTGGGGCATCGCTGTCCAATCATTGGAGCAGAGGGGTCGCCTAGGGGGGTGAGTGGAACCCCTGCTGCCTCGGGGCACCCCTCTGTGCTCCAGCCCCGGGGAAGGCGCTCTCAGAAGAGCCGTGACACAGAACATTTCTCCTTCCCCGGTGCAGCCCTCCCGGATGACCTGCGGAGCCCCATCAGGATCGAGAGGGAAGAGCTTCGCAACCTGCATTTCTTCCCCCCGGAGTACGGCCGTGAGTACGAGGTCTGGGTGCTGGGGTGGGACGTGGAGGGGGGTCCTGCGTGAGGTCGTGGGCGCAGGGTGTTTGTGGCAATAGGGAATTATCCAGTGTATTCATGAGAAAAGCTGTTGGCCGTGAGTCACGGGAGATGTCATGGTAATGAATGGCTGGGTGGAAGTGCTGGAGCAGCTTTGCTCGTGCGGGAACGGGCTGTGCGTGAGCGGTTATGGGTTGGGAACAAGATCCCAGTGTGACCATGGGTAGCTCTGGAAAGGTCAGCTTCAAGCTCAAGAACACTCCAAAGCATGTAAAATGTTACAACGATTAGGGAAAAAAGAGTAAAGAATCTTTGTACCATGTGAAAACTCGTGATGTGATCCCCGTCTTGAATATTTTGGTACAAATTTGAGGGCAATAAAACAGGAAAGGTTTTATTGAGGGCAGGGGTGTGTGGGCAGAGGCAGTCATAGGGACGAGGCAGGGTGTGGGGGACTGTTCCCGGGGTGAGCAGATGGTGGCTTGTTCCTCTGTCCTGATGTGACTCTGGCTTGGTTCTGCAGAAAAGGCTGATGGGACTGCTGTGGACATCTTCTCCTTTGGGATGTGTGCACTGGAGGTAGGGAGCAGGACGGCTGGGAACCTGCAGTGGCCCCTGGTTACGGGGCAGGATTGCTCTTACTGAGCTCGATGGGGATGGCAGTGGCCTGGGGAGCTTCCTGAGGAGTCTCCTTGCCCTTTTCCAAACCTTGCTGCAAGCTGGGGATCCCTTGCATTGATAAGAACCATAGAGTCATAGAAATGTCTGGGTCAGAAGGGACCTTTCAGCTCCTGGAGTTCCACCACTGACCCAGCACTGACCAACCCACCACTGACCCGTGTCCCTCAGCACCACGTCTGCCCGGCTTTTCAATCCCTCCAGGGATGGCGACTCCACCACTGCCCTGGGCAGCCTCTGCCAAGGCTTCACAGCCCTTTCCAGGAAGGAATTTTCCCCAATCTCCATCCTAAACTTCCTCGGCCCATCTTGGGGCTGTTTCCTCTTGTCCCATCGCCTGTTCCTTGGGAGAAGAGACTGACCCCCCCGGCTACACCCTTCTTTCAGGGAGTTGTAGAGAGCAATGGAGACATCACTTCTGGGTTCAGGAGAACATTTTCTGCTGCTTTGGCCCACCCTGCCCTGGGCACAGTAATGTGCTTAGCTCACCTCTTCTCTGCTCATCTGGTGCCTCCTCTTCCTCCTCGGGCTGTGACAGCCCTGGGAAGGGAGGGCACAGAGGGCAGGGACAGACCCTGCTGCTCCGAGCACAGCTTCCCAGGCGGACTGTGGGGGCTATTTGCCCTGGCCCTCTGTCTGTGGGTGCCCAGGGAGCAGCCTGGAGCTCTGCAGTAGCCAAGAAATGGGCCCTGAGGGCAGGGACACAGTGGCCAGGGGGCACTGGGGAGCCCAGGGGACCTGGTGTATCCTGCTGAGGAGCTCCACAGGTGCCACCCTGCCAGGGGGTGTCCCTTTGGGGAGGCCCCGAGGGGTGACACAGGGCTTGGCTGCCTGCAGACACGGCTGTGCTCCTTCTTCCCCAGATGGCTGTGCTGGAGATCCAGACCAACGGGGACACGCGGGTCTCGGAGGAGGCCATCATGCGGGCACGGCATTCCCTGGACGATCCCAACATGCGGGTGAGTGCAGCCCTGGGGACAGAGCTACCGGGCTGTAGCCTGACCCACAGCCGGGTCAGGAATCCCTCCTGGGGTGTAAATCTGCCCACGAGTGTCCTTCCCGTCCGCTGATACCTGGAACGTCAGAGCCAGCCTGGCATTCCTGCGTGCTCCAGGCTAGCCTGGTCCTGGGAAGGGGGAATGGAGACAGCGACCTGTTGTAAACTTATGGGCAGCCAAATCTGCTGGGCTGAAGGACATAGATTCATAGAAGTGTCTGGGTTGGAAGGGACCTTCTTTGCGTCTGTTCTGAGCAGCCCCAGCCAGATACCCGTACCGAAACTGCAGGGAGCAGTTCAAGAGGACAGGCCCCAGCCTGGAGCGTTCTGAAGAGGCAGAGGATCTCCCTTTTCTGCCGTCAATGAGCAGAAATGAGCAGATGTATCCCCCTGACTCTGCCGCTGTCAGGAATCCCTCCTGCTGGCTCAGGCTCCGGTCTCCCACCGTCTCTCCTGGTGGGATGCTGCTCCCAGAGCTGCTCCTGGCAGGATAAACCCCTGCCTTTCTCCTCACAGCCCTTTGCTGGGGTTCCATTGCCCCCTTCTCCCCAGGTGGGAGCAGGCAGGGAGCAGAGGTGCTGTGGCCAGGCGGTTGGTGGGTGCCCAGCGGGGGAATGTCCTGCTTTGCCTCCAGCTTATGCCCTTTCATTCACCCTCAGGAATTCATTCTCTCGTGCTTGACCCTTAACCCGGACAAGCGACCGACAGCCAATAGCCTGCTCTTCCACCGGGTGCTCTTTGAGGTCCATTCCCTCAAGCTGCTGGCCGCGCACTGCTTTATCAACAACCAGTGTGAGTAACCCTGAGACCTTCTTGCCCTGCTTGAGCTTGTGTTGCTGCCCCAGCAGAGCCAAGCGCCTGGAGGAGCTGGGGTAGGAGGGCAGCGACTTGGAGACCTTCCCTGGGGTCTGCAGTGTCCATGTTCCAGGACCTTCCAGCTGACAGCCCCTTCCTGCCCTTGCCCTAGATCTGATGCCGGAGAACGTGGTGGAGGAGAAGATAAAGGAACTGGACCTGAACATGGTGATGGCAGAGATCCGGAGAGAGGGTCGGCCTGGAGCGCAGTGGAGGTGATGATTAGTGCGGGAGTTTTCGTAGCCATGAGCCCAGGACTTTCATCCAGGCTGGTGGTCCCAGTCCCATGGCACATTAGTCCTTCGTGCTGCTCTTCTGTCCTGCCTTTCCTCATAATCTCCCTGTCCCGCTTCCCTCCCAGGTACTCGGAGGTCTCGTTCCTTGAACTCGACAAATTCTTGGAAGATGTCAGGTGGGTTGGGGGCAGTGCTGGCTGGGCTGTGATGTGTCCACCCAGCTCTGGTTCTCAGCATCTCTGCCCTCAGCTCCTGGTCCTCCAAGCTGAGTTGTGCTGGGGCTGTAAGAGGACAGGGCTCAGCTGATTGTCCTCCCTCTGTGTCTGCACCAGGAATGGGATTTATCCCCTGATGAACTTCGCTGTTTCCAGACCGCACGCCCTCCCACGTGCGCTCTCCCAGCCCCAGGAGGACCCTCAGAAAGCCAAGACTCCCACCCCAGAGCCCTTTGATGTGGAGACCAGGAAGGTGAGGCCAGATTCAGGTGGGGACAGATTCCCCACTGGGAGTAGGTGGACGATCCCCATTCCTGACACCCTACAGCAGGAACACCTCTCCCTTGAGCCATGCACTGGGCTGCAGCCCAGGGGAGAGCTATCCTCCTTGCGTTGGCTGCCCCAGGACTGTGGTGGTCCACTTGGCTGGAGCCACTGAGGTCCATTTCCCTCTGTACTGGGCGCTGGTGAGACCCCACCTCAAGTGCTGGATCCAGTTTTGGGGTCCTCACGACAGAAAAGACATTGAGGGGCCGGAGCGTGTCCAGAGAATGGCAACAGAGCTGGGGAGGGGTCTGGAAACCAAGGAGAAGGGTCTGGAGAACTTGTGAGGAGCAGCTGAGGGAGCTGGGGGGGTTCAGCCTGGAGAAAAGGGGGCTGAGAGGAGACCTCCTCGCTCTCTACAGCTCCCTGAAAGGAGGGTGTAGCCAGGGAGGATTTGGTCTCTTCTCGCAAGGAACAGGCGATGGGACAGGAGGAAATGGCCCCAAGTGGGGCTGGGGAAGTTTAGGATGGAGATTGGGGAAAATTCCTTCCTGGAAAGGGTTGTGAAGCCTTGGCAGAGGCTGCCCAGGGCAGTGGTGGAGTCGCCATCCCTGGAGGGATTGAAAAGCCGGGCAGACGTGGTGCTGAGGGACACGGGTCAGTGGTGGGTTGGTCAGTGCTGGGTCCGTGGTGGGACTCCAGGAGCTGAAAGGTCCCTTCCAGCCCAGACAATTCTATGATTTTTCCTGAGACCTTCTGGAGCAGCCTCGTTGCCTCTGATTCTCTGGCTCTGCCTTCCCTCCTCCTGCATCTGCAGGCAGCTCCGTGGCACGGCCTGTTCTCTGCCTCTCTGCTGAGTGTAGGTTTGGAATCCCATCGGGGTTTGATGGTGACACTGCAGTGGCATGCTGTGAGGCAGCTGAGCTCTGCCTGGCACTGGCCATCCTCTGGAGCAGTCAGAGGATCTCATGGGGCTGTCTGCACCTCTCTGTCTTAAAAACCCATTTCATAGTGGGTATTTCCCTGTGACTAGTTCATCACTAGTCACCAACAGCACCGTCTTTGTGTTACCGTGGATGTATGAATGCAATTTCATACTTGCATTGAATTAATGTTAAAAATACCATGTAGGGCTGAACCTAATTCTTATTCCTGCAAGACGCCGTGAAATGCCTCTCTTCCAGAAGCACATCCCCAGTGGTGTCTGCAAGCGGCTTTCAGTGCACTCAACTTATGCTTTATTCATATTGCTCAGTGCTTATTTTTAGTGGGAGTGCTGCACTGATCAATGTAAATGTAAACCTACACAGTTATGTCTTCTCCCTCCCCCACATTTGTTATATGCTGCTTTTCCTCCTAGTGCCCCCGAGTAAGTTCTTCAAGCGTGTTATCTGTCTGACCAAAACACTCAAACACCTAGTTTTTACCACCCAGTTTGACAAAGGACTGGCGATCTCAGAGGCACTGAGTTTCTACAGATTTGGTGAAAACAGTGTTTTGTGCAGCTGGACAAACCTGCAACTCCCAAACGAGCACAGCTGCACTGCAGAGTCTCTGTCTGTTCTGGGAGGCACCAGGTAGGGATGTTGGATGGATCCAAGGAATTTTTTTTTCATGCTGAGGATGGTTAAACAGTGAACCAGGCGCTAAGGGAGGTATGGGATCTCCTTGGAGGTTTTCAAAACCCAGTTGGGCAGAGCTTTTAATGGCCTGGTCTGCATTCACTGTTTGTCTTTTTTTGAGCAGGAGCTTGGACTAGAGACCTCCCGGTGTCCCTTCCTACGTAAATCATTCTTTGATCATGGGCATTAGGCAGAGGGGAGTGGGGAGTGGGTGGCAGTGATGCCCTCAAATGTCATCAGTCTCATCTCTGATGACGTCTGCAACATGCTGTGCAGTTTGGGGAAATTCAGAAGGGAAGAGCCCCCACCTTGGGCATACCCACAACTGTACCCTGGGCTGCATCCCCAGCAGTGTGGCCAGCAGGGCGAGGGGGGGGGATTCTGCTCCGCTCTGGGAAGACCCCCCCAAGTGCTGCCTCCAGCTCTGGGGCCCCCAACATCAGAAGGACATGGAGCTGTTGGAGAGGGGCCAGAGGAGGCCACGGAGATGCTGGGAGGGCTGGAGCCCCTCTGCTGGGAGAACAGGCTGAGAGAGTTGGGGGGATTCAGCCTGGAGAAGAGAAGGCTCTGGGGAGGCCTTAGAGCCCCTTCCAGTCCCTCAAGGGGCTCCAGGAAAGCTGGGGAGGGACTCTTGATCAGGGAGGGAGCCATAGGACGAGGGGGAAGGGTTTGACACTGAAAAGGGGAAGATTGAGATGAGATCTGGGGAGGAAATTCTTTGGTGTGAGGGTGGTGAGCGCCTGGCCCAGGTTGGCCAGAGAAGCTGTGGGTGCCCCATCCCTGGAGGGGTTCAAGGCCAGGTTGGAGGGGGCTTGGAGCACCCTGGTCTGGTGGGAGGTGTCCCTGCCCAGGGCAGGGGGTGGCACTGGATGGTGTTTAAGGTCCTTTCCAAGCCAAACCATTCTGTGATTCTATGATACAGTCTCACTGGTGTGCTCTTCTTGGAGACATGGATGCCCTGGAGATGACAAGGGTCAGAGGACAGCCAGTTTCCTGACTGAGAGCACTGAATGCCCAGGGATATTTGTCCAAGGGAGGAGCTGTAGCAGAGAGGGGCTGGGTCAGAGGAAGGAACAAGCGTGTAACTCCTCACATCTGAGCGTAAGGAGTATAAATGAAACCCTGTTAAACTCTGCATGGAACAGGGATGGTGATTCCTCACTGGGTTTCCTGCCTTTTGGAATTGCATGCTCTCTCTGGCTGTCCTTTGCCCAGACAACATGACTTCTGTTGTGAACCATTTTTATGGGAACTTGAAGAATTCACCCTGGTTGTGAAGTTTCCGCAGAAGTGCATCTTTTGCAGGGCTCCCTCACCCACCTCTCCATCAGCTGATGATGGCCACAGAGTGTAGCTGGATATGGGACTAAATTAACCCTCAGCTGCTCCACCCGAACAATTCCTAGAAACGTGGGAAGGTGGAAAAGGTCAGGCTGGCAGTTGGAATTAAGGGGCTTAAGTAGGAATTTGAGTCCCGCTTGGAGGGCAGCAGTAAAGCGGACCTGAGGGAGCCAGAGGGCCCATGTCCAAGCTGATGCTGATTTTGGCCTCTTGCAGGTGGTGCAAATGCAGTGTAACATGGAGCTGAATGAAGACAAGACCCAGTGGCATGCAAGTATCCAGCTTCTATTCCACATGAGGCACTGGGGCAGGACCCTGTACCCGTCCCTGGCATCTGGCTGGCACTTGGTTTGGTCTCAGCTACATGGCTGCAGCATTCAGAGGACTTACTCTTGTCCCTTTGTAATAAAAGAAGCCCGCAGAAGAGCAAAGCCACCAGCCCCCTCTGGCTGCAGGACAGGAAGGCCATGACATCTTTGTCTGGGCATCTTTTAGCTCTGCTTCTCTGTAGTTTAACAGTTGTGGGTTAGCTGGAGCTGCTGAGAGAACATTCCTCCAAGAGACCCAAACCACCCGGCCAGAGACATCCAGTGTCTGGGCAGTTACAGCATCCTCCCCACTGCCGGCAGCTCCCAGCGCCGATGGGAGAGTCGGCACCTTTCCCTCTTGCGGAGAAACCAGGGTTTGTAAAGAGCACTCTCTTCTCTCTGCAGCTCACTCTCCTGCTCATCCTGGAGGACAAGCTGCATCGACAGCTGAGCTACGACTTGCTGCCCAGTAGGTTCATTTGCACGTAGATTTTCGTGTGTGAATGCAGAAGTGTTGCCTGATGGCCCTGCTCAAGGTTAGGCTCGGACTGTGTTAGACACAGATTGTATTTACAGCCAGATTTTCTTTCCTTCTCATACTGGGAGAGCAGGGTAAACCCAGATATCTGTGTGGTACCAGTTCTTGTCCACTCAGACCCTGAGCTTACAGCCACTGGCATGTGGTGGCACTCTCAAGTGTCCAGCGAGTGGCCATCAAGAATCCGCATTTCACGCTGGAACAGGTGGCCTGCAGTTCTTGGGGTAACACTAGTGAACACTTGTTCCCAGCACTGGTGCAGTCTCCACAACACCTTTCCAAGGAAAAAGTGGACTCCTCCTCCGGAGTAGCCCTGTGGCTCTGGGGAAGGTGCTTCTCCTGGGAGTAGGTCCAGCACTGCAGGCTCCTTCCTAGAACGTGCAGGAGCCTTGTGGAGTCCCCGCAGCTGGAGTCCCTTGGCTGCCTTAGACCCAGAACTAAAGCATAAAGCTTGGAAATTAACACATGGAAGGTGCTGCTTCACCAACCCTTTGTGTTCTTCTGCCCACGGGTCATATCCCACTTGCTTTTCATGCTTTTTTTTTTTCTTTTTTCAAAAGAAGCAAAAAAACTCTCTGAGGTACACATTGCCCAGGCTGTTCTCGTTGCGATTTGGGGCTGAAGCTTGTTCCTGCCCAGAACCTTCTTCAGCTCCCACTCACTATCCACCTCTGCCCTGTTTGCCCCAGCATTGCTTAGCAATTAATTAGTGATTACTTAGCGATTAATGAGTCTACCAAAAGAACACGGCAGGTGCCCCTGAAGCGTAGTGAAGTGGAATGCGGGTGTGCTGCTGGGGGGCACAGGGGCACCGGGGGAGGAGGAGCTGAGAGATGTATAAACTTCCATGTTCTCCCCGTTCCTTGTCCCTGCAGCCGATAACTCCAAGGACTTGGCCACGGAGCTGGTGCATTACGGATTCATCCATGAGGTAAGTCTCCTGTCTCCTCCTCAGCTGAGCCGAGCATGTACCGTGCTGCCAAGGGGGGTTCCCAACCCCTGGTGACACCATGGAGGAGCCTCAGAGGAGCAAGAGCTCCTCTGTTCCCCATCCAGCAGCTCACAGGGGCCAGCTGTGCTCACTCCCCTGGCATGAGTGACAACACATCCTTTTTTTGGCATTTTGCTAGGTTTTTTTATTCCATATTTCACTGATGCCTCACTCCAGCTTGCTGTTTCAAGGGGACAGTGGTGCTATGATGGCAGGGTTAATGACAGCAACCCTGCTGCAGGAGAACCAGAGGAGTGTGAGGGAAGGAAGCTGAGGCCGCCTCCCAGAGGAATGGTCCCCATAGCCTGGAGAGCAGCTCTTAACTCCCGTGGCAGATTTCTGTCTGTCGGGAGAGATGTCCCACCCCTGCATCCAGCTTCCAGGCTCTCCCTTGGGGGTTTGCACAGACCCGAGAGAGAATCCCGAGCAGCCTGGGCATCCAGGCCATTCAGCAGCACAGCCTCGAGGAAAGGCAGCCAGGGGGGAATTAAAAATGTATTTCTGTTTTTATTTTGTACAAGTTAGGAGTTCTGGGGTGGTAGGCAGAGTGGTGGAGAATTCCTCAAGCTCCTGACATTAGCCAAGGAGGGGCTCAGCCTCACTGAGTGAAAAGCTTATGTGAGTACACCTGGGAAAAAAATGCATTTTGACTTTCTTCCTTCCCTCCCCTGGGCACGGTGACTCTGCAGCTCGGCCCTGGCGCGCTGGGCGCTTTCTCCCACGCTGGGAAATACACGGCGTTTGCGGCAACCTCCTACTGTGGAGCCTGCCTCACACGGCCCCTGTTCCACACACCGTAAATTACCTTTCTCTTTCTGTCTCCTAGGAAATAACCTCCTTGTAGCACACCTCCCCCCTCTAACATCTCTTCTGCTCCACAGGTACCAGCTGCCTTTTCCCCGAGATGGTGGGACTGGTTAATACCAATACCGTGTTAAACCCTGAGCCTGTGTTTAGCTTGGGAACTGCTGCTTGTTTCTGGTCTGAAGGACCCATGTATCCAAACACTTGTCCCCTTTTCCGACTGTAGTGCTTGGCCTAACAAAAGACACCACCTACGCCACACAAATCCTGCCTTCAGAATGCCAAGTTTTTTCTTAAAAGTAGCAATCTAGCAGCAGTAGTGACCAAGGGGGGGGCTCTGATCAACACAAACCAACTGATTCTGCATTTTTCATTGGAGTGGGAATTTTGAGTTTGGTTCTGGCAATTCCAAAACCCCTCTATGATACAAGGTGATTTCCATCCTTTAGATATTGTTATGTATTTCAGTAATTTCTTTCTTAAGGAATAAATGATCCAATTATGTCAGAAACCATTTGCTCCTGAATGTGTCAGAAAAGAGATTTCTGTACAAAGTAGTTGCCAGACCAACAAAAAGTGACATTAGTTTTTATTTTTATTAGAAGTGAGGGTATTATAAAACAGATGGCCATAGAAAATAATTAACTGACCACCGGACTTAAAGTTAAGTTGAAATTAAACTAAGCAAGAGAAGCTGGAGCTCTAGTTCCTTCCGACTGGAAGCTCCAAAGAACTCCACACTCCTTTGTCTATCACACCTGACACAGAACGATTCCAGTCTTGATTGGTCATTTGGCGTTATTCAGTAAATATTACAATTATTAGTAGTTCCAGAGGTGCTGGCGAGTTGTTCTCTTCCCGTGTCCGAACTCAGGGGAAGTTGGTGGCTTGGGCTGGAATCATGTAAGGAAGGAGACGTCCAAGGTGGCCCAGCCAAATCCATCTGTTGATGTGTGTGTTCCTTTTATTTCAGGACGACTGTGAAAAGCTGGCTAACTTCCTGGAAAACGCCTTCCACAAGTACCGGTCTCCTCCCTTGTGAGTCACCTCGCTGTGGTCTGGGACGGAGCGGTCCCCTGTGCTGTGGGGGACGGGGAGCCTGGACCAGACTGGAAGAAAGCGGGGGGCTCCTGACCGACCTTCCTCCATCAGGCCCGAGCCTTCGCTGTCCACGGGAGGCACGTGCCCGAGCTGAGGTGGGAAAAGCCAACAGCGAGCGGAGGAGGAATCAGCAAACACGAGACATTACATGTGCATCACGAGAAGCTGGGGCCGAGCAGGAGCACATGTTCTGGTCCCCATTCCCGAAGCAGTACCCCAAAGGGACCTGTGAGGTGCAGGGGAGCCCCCCCTGCAGCCCCTTCCTGATGGCGTTTTGAAGATGCAAAGCTGTTGCAAGAATCCCCCAAACTGACAAATTTCCCTCTGGGAGTGATGAGCTTTTTTCAGTGCAGGTCCCAAAGCTGTTTTTTCCCCTCTTTGCTGGCTGGTGACACCCACAGAGGAGAGGAGAGGAGCGGGCTGGGAGACCTCTGGCAGTTTCTGATCTGCCACATCCTGTTCTTTACCCCTAGTTTCTCCTGTTTCATTAAGGTTTCCCCAGCACAGATGAACCGCTGTGATGCCTTGTAATTAGAATTGCACATCTTGGTGTAAGCTGAACAGAGGACTTTATGAGTTGGACTTGAGAAGAAACCCCAGAAATCCAAACCCACCAGCTGGATCCAGACCTGTGGATCAGCAGAAACCTCACTGGTGCTGAACAGAACCCTTACCATGCCCCACTTTGTCTTACGGCCTTCCAAAAATCTCATGGCATCTTAAGGGGGAAAACCCCCGGTGCCTCTTCCTTCCCTGTTTCTCCTGTAGCGCTTGGGACTTCATTACTGTGGAGAAAGGGGCCATCGCTGTAGCTGCTGCGTGTGTCGGGCTCAGTGGGTGAAGTGTGCAAATAGGAATTATTTGTGTCGCGAAAGCCGTGCCGTGCTGCTTCCTGCTGTTCACGCTGTGCCTGCGCCGTGCTGTGCCGGGTCCTCCCCGTGGCTCTGCCTTACGCTGCCTGCGCTTTGCCGTGCTGCTCCGGCCGTGCCGGGTTCCCTGCGCTGCGCTGCCCATCGTGCCGTGTTTCCAGGCTGCGCTCTGCTCTGCCAAACTGACAGGTCAATAAAGCCACTGAAAGCAGCTTGTCTCAGCAAAACGCTCGGTGATTTCATAGTTGCTCTCACGGTTAAACTCAGAAGATGTGAAATAGCTTCCCTGAGTTCAACAGATTTATCCCCAAAGTTAGGGAAATCGGGTAGAGAGGGAATTCGGTGGAGAACAAGTCTTGTGAGGAGTGGCTGAGGGAGCTGGGGGGGTTCAGCCTGGAGAAAAGGGGGCTGAGGGGAGACCCCATCGCTCTCTACAGCTCCCTGAAAGGAGGGTGCAGCCAGGGGGGGTCGGTCTCTTCTCCCAAGAAACAAGAAGAAAGGACCCCAAGTTGGGCCAGGAGAAGGTTAGGATGGAGATTGAGGAAAATTCCTTCCTGGAAAGGGCTGTGAAGCCTTGGCAGAGGCTGCCCAGGGCAGTGGTGGAGTCGCCATCCCTGGAGGGGATGGTGGGACTTCAGGAGATGAGTCCAGCCCAGACCATTCCATGATTCTACGCAACATCGTACAGCTGCTTAATTCAGAAATCATTTTTTCTCCTGAACAAGTTTGCACTTGCCCCTGCAAACTGAGAAATTCCTTCATACACCACCTGCTTTGTTTCCCTGATTAACTCATTAGCTCCTTAACATGTTTCACCTGCCTAAGTTCATGGTTTGATTTAACACCACCACTGCTCGGTTCGTCCCGATTTCCACACTGTATCCTTCGCCACAAAGCCAGGACCAGAGTGGAAATCCTGCCCTCGCACTTGCCAGTCAGACCCGACTCCCTGGGGTCCCCTCAGACACTGATGGTTGGTGCGATCCGCTCATTAGGGCTGTAATTCCTCATTAGGGCCCATTTATTAGAGCTGTGGCACACACACCTCCTGGTAGTGCCGAAAACTGCATCCTGTAAGAGTGCAGTATTTCATTGTTTTCCAGTGGTTAACTCCTGTCACTTAAATTTAGGCTCGCAGTAGGGCACACTCTGTGATGTTCCAATTCAGATATTGTTCCTTTATCTTACCATCTTATTCCCTCCCAGAGGAAAAGCGCTTTGGCAACAAGAGCCTTTCTCATCACAACTGTAACGTTAAGTCCTCTTTCAGCTGCTTTTGATAGGCTTTATTGGCCTGATCTTTCTAAGCTTTTACTTGTGAGACACACTTTCACCACCGGTAAACTTCTCGTAGTTTTCCCTCGGTTTTTCCGTTAGTCCCGCGCCTCCTCTGCGGCGGGGCCCGAAGACCGCAGCGGCCGGCTGCCCGCGGAGCCGAGAGTACCCGTCCCTCGCGGCCGGGCCGCCGCCTGGGGAAGGGCGGAGGGGGTCCTGGGGGCCCCGTTCTGGACCCGCACTCCCCCCCGTGACAGACCCCGGGCCCAGCGCCTCCCCGACCGGCGCGGCCGCCATCGGCGCGGCCGCCATCGCCCCGCCCGCTCACGTGACTCGCCCCACTTCCCGCGAGACATCCCTTCCCATCGCCTCAGCGAGATTCTCGCGAGGGCTCCGTGGCGCGCGCGGAAGTGGAAGCTCTCGCGAGGGCGGCGCGCGCCGACAGACGACGGGGTGGACAAGATGGCGGCGACAACGACCATCTCCCTGGTGAGCGGCGCGGCCGCCGCCCTCCCGCGGGCGAGCTGGGGCGGCGGGCTCAGGCCGGCCCACAGGAGGGGGACGGCTCGTCTTGGTCACGGGGTGTCGTGCGCGGCGGGCCCCGCTGGGCCGGGGTGCAGGTTGGGGCCTGCGCGGCGGGGACTGGGGTGGCTGTGGGCCCTCCGCGGGCGGCCGTTCCCCCTGTGCTGGCCCCTTCCCGGGCCCGCCAGTAACGGGGGAGGCGGCTGTCCTTCCCCTGTGGCCCTGTGGGGTAGGCCCCGGCAGTGCAGCGGATGGGGCTCCGCCATCGCCGTGCGCTCCCCCGGTGCGGCCGGGGACCGGCCGGTGCTCTGGGCCCGCTCCGGGCTCGGGAAGGGGGTTCGCTGCGCTGGAGTACGCGCGGTACCTCATCTGGGCTTGTTCGGTGGTTCTAGAAATTCATCTGTTTAAAGAGATGTGGCCAGGTGCTGGGGGGATGTTTAAAGTATTTAGCAGAGACCGTTCTCTCCCAGAGCCTTTTAGCAGGAGGTTAGAAAGTGAGGGTCACCTTTCCTGCCAGACATAACGAACGGTGGTTATTTTTATATTTCCTGTTGCTTCCATTATGTATTCATGAAGGGACCCTAATAGTATTGATTTTTATAAGAGTTCTTTGTGGTTTCGGGAACGTTCTTTAGAGCTTCCCTGAGTAGACTGCTAGTGTTGTAGGAAAGCAAAGGAACACTTTCGTTTCAGAGGCTTATTTGTTTTCTTTGTGACTTAGCCTTAAAAAGAAGAAACTGAAGCCCTTCACTGCGACACTGTTCAGCCTTCCTTGGACTACTTGTTTTTATTTTTGGCTACCTCTGGCATTCTGTAAAATGGCAATAAGAAGCCTGTTGGGTGGAAGCCTCCAGGGAAGGCAGCCCGTAGTATAATTGTGGATGCTAAGGAACTGCAAAGGGGGTGGCCTGGCTCATGTGCTCCCTCCAGATATCATCAGATGCTCTTGGAGTACTGGGTTGGACAGACCCTTGGTGTGACACAGCAGGATATTTCTTAATGCTTTTGTGTTTTCTGCTTTTCTTGTCCCCTCCCCCTCATTGTTTTAATAGAAAATATTGGCTTTGTTTCATGGCTAGATCTAGTTGTAAAGCTGCTCTGTTTTTCTCTCAGGCTGTGCCTTTGAACCCTGACAGAGTTGACTTTGACAGTATTCCTTTCTTTGCATTTACAAATACTGGTGCTTATAATCGGGAGCAAGTACAAATAACTCATTTTGTTTCCCATCTCATCTGTGCTTAATTAGAACTTCGTTAGGTTAGGGGCTTTGCCAGGTTAATGCTGAGAGGGAGTGTTGAAGTCCTGAGCTCATGAGGTTAAATATAGTTAAATATCATTCCAAAGATGATTGAAATCGAAGGAATGTGAGGCTGCTTAGAGTGCGTGAGAAGAGATTTTGCCTCTCCTTAAAGCTAAGGTGGTGACCATCCTTTATGTCACAGAACTCTGCTTCAGCCAGTTTCTGTGCTCTCATTGTATAGTTCAATATATGCATATTAAAATGACAATGCTTTCTCGTTTGAATTTTAGGTAGGATTAGGGTTTATACTGAAGTAGTTTTGCAACTGTAATTTCACTTGGTGGCACAGGCCATTGCTTACAGGAGCAGCTCTGTACCACTGTGCTTTGTTACCCAGGACATCCCTGTTGTGACACACTGCAGTGCTGTCCTGGGTCAGCTCTGCTGGCTGGGGCTGTTCTTTCATCTGCATATTTTGACTCTCTCTTCCCCACGCTGCTGCCCTGGGCTCTGCCCCTCGGCTTGTGTTACAGGCACATTTGCCCTGCGGCAAACTCTCCTCCTTAGGGCATCAGAGCTGTAACAGCCTTTTCCTCTCCTCATGTGAGCTGCGTGTGTCCCCAGGCTTGGACAAATTCAGTAATTCCAAGGAGTCTTTTTCTTTGTTTTGCTTTGTTTCATGGGGTATTTTTTTGTTTTTAATTTACAGACACTCCCTCAGGACTGCCCTGTTGTCAGTGGGAGTTTGTGGGTTGATTCATGGAGCAGAGGAAGCACCCTCCTGTCCCGTAGTTAATTAAGGAAAGGACTGCCATATGCTGCTCCTGGAGCAAAATCTGTCTTCCCAACAAATAAGTATTTTTATCTGGTTCTCATCAGTAACCATGGGAATCAGAAGTATGATATCATTGTAACTAGTGAGACCTACCAGACATAGAATTTAATTGCTGAAGGAAGCTTTAGGAAAATTTTAAGTGTGTTTGGGAAAAAATTTGACTGGGCGAGAGTTAAGCTTAAGCTTTTTTTTTTCTTTTCCCCATTTTTTTTTAATTACTTCACCTTTGCATTGCTAGGCTGCTCTTGCTGCTGCTGGTATGAGGAACACGTTGTCTGCAAGCAGTTTATTGAGCATTGGCAGGTGTGTGTTCTGTAGTAAGTCTGCTGTATTGGGAAGGATCAGCCCCTGCAGGGCGATCCTGCACAGACATTTCCAGTACTTAATGTCTGGCAGATTAACTAATTTGCAGCTCCTGAATTGTATGTGAATTTGGAGATGTTTTGAAGGGCATCAGTGTTGCACCCGTGCATCATTCAGCAGGAAGGCAATACGCAGCTACGGCAGAGATGTCAATAGTAATAAGTTCTCCTCAAATACTGTTAACTGTAAAAGTTAAACTAACCATTCTTGATTCTTACTGTAAAGTCATGTGTTACAGAAAGTAGTTGTGTATCCACATTTGAGATCTAGAATTCAGCTATATATTTATGGGATATATTTTCTTAGCCTGGCGTAATTAAGTTCCCCACGAAGCTTATGAGGACCAGTACAGTTTACTTCCAGACTGCAGGTATTTCTTCTTTTCACCTGAAGTAGTTCTTGAGGAAAATCTTTTTTTGTGTGTTTGAAATAGTTCGTAGTTTCTGTCCTGCTGCTACAAGCAAGGTCTGTTTGTAACATGCAGGGGACTATTTGTGTATGTGTGACAAAACAGAAAATTCGTATGAAAGTATAGTTAATTATTAATACAATTCTAATTAAATTTCTCAGTTACTTGATTGGTACCTTTTAGTGTTAGAAATGCAATCAGTTGTTAGAGTGGATTAAGTCATTAATGTCTTGCTTAGGAAACTTCTATTTTTAAACTAATTAAGTAGTCTTGAGACACTTGGTGCCGCTGCTTTTGGTGTCTGTACTGTGACAGTGGTGTCTGTCCCAGCTTTGGGTGCTGGGCCTTGATGGGCTTCCCTTGGAAGTGCTCCTTTAGCGCCTGGTACCTCCTCACCCCCATGGACCGTGCTTCAGGATGACGTGCAGGGCTTTGCCTTTTGGTATTTACCTGGTCTCTTGCTCTTGTGAACTTTTTGCATCACTTGTGTTTTTTGAAGCTCTTTCCAGACTTGTGACATTCTTTAAAATAGAAATATACCAGAAATGGATACAGTAGGTCTCTTATTTGTCTCATCAGTTCC